ATTAACATTTGTCAAATTCAAAGATTCATTCATTCAGCTACTCAGAATTTTTACTGTGCATCATTTTTGTAGCAGAATTGCAATCATCCATCCTGTAAACCAAGAACAATTGCCTTAAGTAAAAGCAAGTTTTCTCAGTGAGAGTGAACAAAGGCACTTTGTACTAGACCGAATAATAACTCCAGAGATGTCTGTGTGCTAATTCCCAGAACCTGGAAACAGGCTACCTTCCATGATGGCAGGGACTTTGCAGATATAATTATGCTAAGATCTGTGAGATAAAGAAATTCTCTGGATTATTCAGGTAAATATAATTGACTCTCAAGCTTCCTTAGAAGGGGAGGGTGAAAAGTCAGAGGTAGACTGAGAGGAGGGCATGAGGGAAACAGGTCAGAGCCAAGGAGAACAAGCAACCTCTAGAAGCTGGAAGAGAAGGGCTGTATTCTCACCCAGACTCTCCAGAGGAGCAAAGCCCTGTCTGTAGTTTTTGGGGGTTGTTTGTTTGTTTGTTTGTTTCTGTACCGGATCGAACTCAGGACATTGTGCTTACAAGGCAGGTGGTGGCACCACTGAGCTAAATCCCCAGCCCCTGTCTGTAGTTTAATTTGGGGCCTTGTAGATTCATTTATTATTTCTGACCATAAAATAAAATTGCATTCAGCCATTAAACTCCTAATAATCTTTAAACCAACAATTTTAAAAACTATATATATAAGAAGGAATAGAAATACACACACAGTTACATCCTTAGTTTTATTGATCTGTAGCACTACTGAAAACAGTGTTGCTTTAAATTCAGACCTTCTGGCCACCACTCCCCATCTGGATGCTCTCTCAGTCTGTCCTTTACAGAACTTCTGGAGTCAGATTTTTGCACAAGTGCAGAAGAGAGAGTTCACGGTAGGCTTGCACTAGCATGGGAGAAATGGAAATGGGGGCAATACGCAGATCATGGGTATGTTGATAGAAAGTGTTGCTAAAACTTGCTGCACCAGTGCTTGAGGAAAAAGAGGTTGAACCAGGATAAGAGTGGGGCCCGCTGGATGGATGGGCAGTGGATTTTCTAACACAGGAAAGACTGAAGGGGCTCGAAGAAAAGAGGCAGTCAGCAATGCCCTCATGAAATCAGCAACATAGGTGGTCAGTCTTCAGTATCTGAAAATACCATATAAGAGAAACATGATTTTATATACCCAGAAATAACATGGAGAAAATGCCTACTGTTAAACTGGAAAAAAATTAAAACTTAATTAGACCATGACTAATGCAATTCGATAAGGCACACAAAGCAGCCCTGAAAATATATAATTTCTGTATATGAAATCTAAGAGGAAAATGTTTTATATTCTGCTACACTTAAATCAAAGTCTATACCAGTTTATAGATAAAACTCTTTTATTTTTTCTTTAAAGAGAAAATAAATAATTTAAATCTCTTCATAGAGTTGAATTCATTGCTAAAATTCTTCCCCTTATTTACATTAACAATTAATATTTATAAACATTTCTATACACAGAATATGTTCTTTTCTGCCTTAAAGGAGGTCAACACATGGGAACCTTATTATAGGCAAGAATGGCATGTTGGGTATCTTATAAAGAGCCTTTTTTTTTTCATTGAGTTTATTGGTACCTTAAGTATACAGTACAGTTACATTCAGCACTGGGATATTGCACCTTTACATGACAGATCTTGGTTCTCAGTTTGTCCCCATGTCCCTGCCCTCCCTTCACCCCCTCCAACCTTTCCACCCTTCCCCATTTAAAAAGATTTTGTTTCTGTTTTTTCCTTTTGTCATATTTTTCCCTTATTTCCTATCCCCTACCCTACCCACTTGCCCTACACCTTTACCCTTTTCTTCCTATTTTACATTGTCATTATACAATTTGGATCTTATTTACACTTTTAGTTTTTCACACCAGAGAAACTATTCAGTATTTAAATATGTGTGTCCTAGGAGCCAGGGATTTAGCTCAGCGGTTCAGTGGCCTGCCTTGCAAGCACAAGGACCCAAGTTCAATCCCCGGTACCACATTCCTATCTTCTATATCTGAAATTCTATCTTCACATTTGTTTATCCCGCAGTAAATGCTTTCAATAGAGTTTTTAATCTCCTGGATATCTGTTTGAATCTGTTCCATGGATTCCATTTCTTTCCTATGCTGGGCATTCATGGCTTCTATCATTGTCTTGAGCTCATCTATTTTTTTGCCAGTTTCTGTTCTAGAGTCTCTAATCATGTCTTTCATTGTGCTCACCATCTCCATAATTATCTGGGAAATTATTTCGGTTTCAATTTTTTCTAGAGCCTGATTGATCTATTTTGTTACTTTCTGTGCTATGAGTTCAGGGTGTCCTGGTGGTTGACTGTCAGGCTTTTCCACCTTGTCCCCTAGAATTTGCTGTTGCTGAACTAGAAGTCTTTCTTTGTGCCTTGCTTAAGTGTTTTCTCATTTTTATATTTGTTGTTGGGCTGTCCTTGATTTAATTCCTGAGTTAGTATTTTGATCTTCCTGATATGGCTTCTCTTTTGGTTTTGAGTCTACATACTCAGACACACTCTCATTTTCATAATATCAGAAAGGACAACTCATTAAATCAATCACAACCCTTTAGCCCAATTGATGCAATCAGCAACACAATAGCATCAAGCACAGCTTAGAACTTGATGATTTGTTGTAGTTATTAATCTATTACCTTTAATCATTTCAATTAAATGAACATCGAGGACTAGCCCAAATTATGTTTATAGTGAATAAACTCTTCAGTATAGCAACTTACCCTTCAGAATAGGGACTAGAAGGGGTTAGGAGGAGAGAAACAGATAGGTAGAGAAATAGGGGAAGGTTTCAAGTGAAGCCAGAGGACACAGGATGATCACACAAACTCTAGGAAACTGTTGAAGATAAGAGGGAAAGACAGAGTGCAAGAACTAAGACAAGAATAGAACAATTTAACAGTAATAGGGAAGCTATAAATTATACTTACTTTCCTTTGAAACTAATGGCACTCAAGTGAAGGAAAGGGAAGAAAAGAAAAACAAAGAAGAAATCGGAATTAGGGCAGGATGAGGAACAAAAAGAGATGGAAAATAATGTGAGGGATCAAGAGACTGAGCAGGAAAAAGAAAGAAAAAAGGAAGAACTTTCTAAATGGGAAAAAAATAAAATTTTAAATCTAAAAATTAAAAACTACAAATATGAGGAAAAGAAAGAAAAAATTTGAAGAGCCTCTTCAGGGTATACCTCTGCTGTCATATTAGACAATGTGGGCAGCAATGTGCAGAACTAAGTCAATTAGTCTCAGCTAGCCAATGGCAGACCCCTGAGATGCATGCTGAATTCTGGCTGCAAAGCCCAAACTGAGCTCCCTGACCTCCTGAAGGTTTGGACTTTGGAAAATTCTACTACAGCTTCCTTCTGCCTTTCCCCTAAAGATAGTCCAAATTCTGATGGAAGGTGGTGATCCCTCCAACTTATCAACTACAGATGTCTAATGTGTCTTTATCATGGTTGTTCACTACCATTATATCTTCTAGAGCTCAGTAAAATGGCCTTTATGACCACCGTGACTCTGCAGTGTGGATACAGGTACCAGCACAACCAGAAGGCCTGTGAGCACAGGCAGGTGGTGGAGGAAAGCTGCAGAGGTGCCTCGGCATCTGGGCAGTCCTCACCAGTCTGCTCCAATGTGCCAGGGGCACTGGTGAGCTCCCCGTGCAGCTGGGCAATCCTCAACAGTCTCAAGAGTCTTTAAAATTCTGAGTAATATAATAGTTGAAGGAAGATATAATTTAATAATTTAACAAAAAACTGAGTGAATTTTTTTTCCTCATTGACTTTATTGGTACATTTTAGGTATACAGTAGTTACATTCATCATTGGGATCTTGTACCTTTACATGATATGTCTTGGTTCTTATTTTTTCCCCTTATCCCTGCCTTCCCTTCACCCCCTCCTCCCTTCCCTATTTACAAAAACTTTTTTTCCATTTCTTTCATTTTCTCATATTTTTTTCTTTTCCCTTAGTTACTTTCCCCTACCCTTCCCACTTCCCCTATAACTTTAGCCTTTTTCTTCCTATTACACATTGTCAATTATACCATTGGGATCTTATTTACAATTATAGTTTTGTGTGTGTGTATGTGTGTGTGTGTGTGTGTGTGTGTGTGTATAGGGACTGTCTTCCTTCTGAACCTTTAAAAACTTGGTAATTTGATAATTGTAGGATAATGCTTTAACTCCAAGGTTAGGAAGTATCGGAGACTAGGGAAGAATTAAGGCCTAATTGGCCTTCTCTGTGAGCACAAAGGAGAAAGGATGCACTCAGGTGTGATTGCATATTGCAGGTTCTAGGAAAAAGTTAAGACAGCTGAGGTTATTAACCAGAGTATGTACTAATGGATATTGGAAAGCAGATGAATCCTACGTCACTTTTCTGACCCATGTCTGGGTGAATAAAGGCAAGATGAGCCAGACACAGGGTGTGGCAGGAGGGCTCTCCTCTGCCTTGCTGACTGCATGTCTGTCATTCACTCTCGCTTACCCCTGGGTCAGGGGGAACAAAATAGCTGTAGGTCCTGGAACAAGGCCAAAGGATGGGTCCACTGCTACAGATGGTGCCCTAATGTAGATCTCTAGACCCAGGCTCAGCTTCAGTTTACCCTGCAGATTTTGAAAGCCATATATGTGTATGTGTGTGTAAGCTGAGTTCACTGATTAAAATCTGAAAATAGGATCATGGGATTTCAAATGAATTTGTCACACCTAAAATATGTTATATGATAAAAGTTTCTAGTGGTTTAAATACAATGACATGTTGCAAAGTAATATGGTATTTAGTTCTCTTTTTAAAAATTATTCATTTGGGAAGTTTATTACTTGGGCAAAAAAACTTTTTTTTTTTTCTAGGCTCACAATAAATCAGCATTGACAAATAAGTTTTCTCCCTGTGTCTCCCCACCCTCCCTCTCCCTCTTCATCTCTTGCCTCCTCGTGAAGATGGTTCGGGAGCAGTACACAGCCACTACAGAAGGCACCCACATAGAGAGGCCAGAGAACCAGAATGTCTACAAAATTGGCATTTACGGATGGAGGAAGCGTTGTCTCTACTTGTTTGTTCTTCTCTTGCTCATCGTCCTTGTTGTGAACTTCGCTCTTACAATTTGGATTCTTAAAGTGATGTGGTTTTCTCCAGTAAGTATTATTTTTTTCCCTTTGGTAAGCTTGTTGTTATTGTGTTCAGTGTATCACTGAGTCCTTGTTGTATCAGTTGTTTTCCTTTAATGTACTAAGCATGTTTCTTTTCTATCTGCATCAGAGCATTCAGTAGCAAAATGTAACTACTACTTTTTCATTTTCTAATCTCATTGTGAAATATAGTGTGTTAATTGTGTTTGCACTGTAATTTTCTCATTAGTCATTATCTCTATATTGTGGGAAAATTCATAATCATGAATTTGTGGTTGAGTCAAGATGGCTTAATGGTTATTTGACTCATCAATCTGTAAAACTGTATAAATCACTTATTTTCCTAATCTCATTAACATAAATATTTACCATTTAGATGCCTGTATTTGTCTACTTTGTGTTACTAAAATGAAATACCTGAGGCAGACTAACTCTATGAAGAAAAGAGGTTTATTTGGCTCATGGTTTGGGACATTTGGGGTCATGGTGTTTGCACTGGCTCAGCTCTGGTGAGAACCCACTAGTGGGTGGTGGAAAATGTGTTCAGGAAGAAGTCACATCACCAAACAAAAAGTCAAACAGGCTGGGTGGAGCCTGTTCAATCTTTTACAACAGGCTCTTGAGAGCTAATCAGGATCCCTGGAGAAAAAAACTCAGTTTCTTCCAAGGGTATGTTACCCCCACCCACGGATCTCCCACTGGGCCCATCTGGTAAAAGTTCACACCATCTCCTCACACTGCCACTTTGAGGACCAAAACTCAGACACCTTAACCATTGGAGGGACACACTTCAACAGTAGCCAGACATAGTAATACAAAAACTCAGTGTTTACAGAATCCATTTTAATATATAACAAAATCATGTGTACATTTCAACTTTCAGCAACAGATTTAGTAAATAAAATGCCAGCAGCCCTAAGAAATTCATATATCATTGTGATCACCCTCATGTTTGAAGACAACTGCATAATTTTAAATGCCCTGGCAAGATGTTGTCTACTTTTTATTTTCTGTGTGATGCTGAGCATTAAATCCAGGGCCTTCCTCATGCCAGACAAGCACTGGACCACTGAGCTATATATATCCCCAATCCTTATTTTGTGTATTTATTTTGAAAAAAGTACCCATTTAATGTAGAATACATTAAGTTTTCAAGACACAGTGAGAAAATCTTGCTGCTGAGAACAGCACAGCTAAGTCACTATGATCTCACTATGTCACTAAGTCACTATGATCTATGTTTATGAACAGGCATAAAGGTAAAATATTTACATGAGCTTTTTTTAACAGCAATAGTTACAGTCATGTGTTCTTAACTGCTTTCCATTAATTAGTATGGTTTCAAGGTGTGTCCAATTTCCTAGAATTGACTCGTTTATCTTTATGGCAGAGTAGTACCAGAGTAAATACTATATTATTTTTATCTATTTATCTGTTAATGGACAGATAGGCTGCTTCCAAGATTTAGCTGTTATAATTTGAGCTGCTATAAACATAGGTATGCATGTATCACTATAATATGATGTTTTTAACTCTTTCAGGAAAATACTTGTGAAAGGAATAGCTGGGTCAATGGAAGTTCTAGTGTCAGTTATTTGTGGAATCTCTGTACTGCTTTCTGCAGTCTTTAAAGGGTCTCTTTTTCCCTATAGACTCACCAACATTTCTTATTATTTGATTTTTTGAGAAGACCATTATTTTATGGAATAAGATGGAATCTCAGTATGGTTTTAACTTGGATTTTTCTGATGTACAATGATCTTGAGCATTTCTTCATATGTTTATTAGCCATTTGTACTTCTCTAAAGTTTTTATTCATTTACTTCCCCATTCTTTATGGGGACTTTTATTTTGGGTAGTCTCATGTTTTTTAGTTCTTAAATATTCTAGATATTAGTACTCTGCCCAAGGAGTATCTCACAAAATATTTTTCCCATTCTGTTGGTTTTATTTTCACTCAGTCATTTTTATTGTGCAGAAGCTTTTTAATTTGATATGGTCTTATTTGTTGATTCTTAGTACTATTTTCTGAACAACTGGTGTTCTGTTCAAAAAGTCTTTGTTTATATCTATGACTTCAAGAGTTTAACCTCTTTTATCTTCCAGCAGGTTAGGTGCTTTTGTTTTAATGATTAGATCTTTGATCCAATTTGATTTTAGTTTAGTACATGGTTAAGAGATATGATCTAGATTCAGTCCTCTATATGTGGCTAGCCAGTTTCCCAATACAGTTTATTAATGAGGCTGTCTTTCCTCCAGTGTGTTTTTGATCCCCTTGTCAAAGACCAAATACAGTAGTTGAATGTGCTTGGGGTTGTTTCTTCATCCTCTATTCTATTCCATAGATCCTATATCTGTTTGTACCAGTACCATGCTGTTGTTATCACCGTAGCTTTGTAATATAACTTCAAGTCTGGGATTGTGATATCTCCCACTTTGCTCTTATTATTCAGGATTCCTTTTGCTATTCTGTGTCTCTTCTGGTTCTGTATGAACTTTAGGATTCTTTTCTGCAGTTTTGTGAAGAATACTGTTCTCTTTTTGATTGTAGTGTTACATATGTTTATAAATCTTGGAAGCTTGGCATTTGACTATATTAGTTCTGCCTACCCAGGAATGGGGCTATCTTTCATTTTCTGATGTCCACTTTGATTTCCTTTTTTATAGTACTCTGGCTTTCATTGTAGTGATCTTTCAATTCCTTCATTAGTTTAATTCCTAAGTACTAATTTTTTCTTGGTGCTATTATGAATGATATTTTTCCTAATTTCTTTCTTAGTGGCTTCATTATTAGTGTATAGGAACACTATTAATTTTTGTGTGTTGATTTTGTATCCGCTACACTGCTGAATTTTTTTATTAATCCTGAGTCTTTTGGTGGATTTGGGAGGTTCTTCTATGTAGAATATCATCTCATTGGCCAATAATGATAGTTTGACTTCTTCCTTTCCTCCCAATATTTATTTTTCTTGCCTAATTCCTCTTGCTAATGTTTTGAATACTATGTTGAACAGAAGTGGTGATAGTGGACACTACTGTCCACAAGTTATAAACAGTGAGATTTGCCATAAACTCCTTTGTTATGCAGAAGTTAAGAGAGAAAATTTATTAGAAAGAAGTTTCTAGAAGGATCTGAAAGAAGTCACCTCACAGCCCAACAGGGTCTAAGAGAGGTCAGACTTTATCTTGAATTAATGAAGATGTAATTATTTTAAAAATATGTGTGGATTAATTTTGTAAACTGCATAAGTTTTAAGTGGAAGTATGCCTTGTTTATATTCTTGTCACATCTAGTAACCATTTAGGTATTATAAATTTAGATTAAATTGAAGTGTGCTAGAAGCAGAGTCCACTTCACCAATGCAGAAGAGCTTACTTCAGAGCTGATCTGCCATTGCTGAAGTTCTTCTTAGCTCCATTTTCTAGTGAGATGCAGTTGCTGACCGATGGTACTTTCTTCAACCTTAGGAACATGTTGCTAATTGGTAATGTGTATTCAGGATTCATCAATGCTACCTTTTAACAAAATAAGAAAAACTACCACTAATATATCAGGGGTCAAAGGCAAGATATGCAAAGGCGCTGATCCACAGAAAGAGCCAGGCTTTGATCTAAAAATGTTGAGACTCTGGATCATTATACCCAGAGAAAAATAACACAAATGATGTAATTCTTGTATGTGTGTGAGCCTTATGTCTTGCTTTTGTAAATATCATATGCCTATGAGATTACAAGTTGTACATTCTTTATGTTTTAATGTTTTTACTGATTTAAAATATTAATATATAAGATTTTATTTCTACTGACTTAAAATTTATTTCATTGTGGTAAGAAAACAAGAGGAAATGTACCCTCATCCAGTTATTGTAGAATATATATTAACCATAGGTACAATTTTGTAGAGCAGATTTCTAGAATTTATTAATCTTGCTTGACTGAAACTTTATGCTTGTTTATTAATAATGCCCCATTTCCCCCTCCCCTAGCCTCTGGTAATCGTCATTCCACTCTTTGAACCTATGAATTTGACTATTTTAGAGTCATCTTATAAGTGTAATTATGCAATATTTGCCCTTCTGTATTTGATTTATTTCATTTAGCAAAATGCACTCAAGATTCTTTCATGTTGTATCATATGGCAGAACTTCTTTATTTTTTTAAGGTTGAATAATATTCCATTGTATGTATATGCCATGTTTTTGTAACTATTTGTCCTTCATGGACATTTCGCCTGCTTCCAACTCTTCACTGCTATGTGTTGTGTTGTAATGAACACAATAATATAGGTAACTCTTCCAAATCCTGATTTCCATTCTTTTAAATAAAAAACAAACTACCTGAAAACAGATAGAAAAACATCCCCATTTTATTTCATTTTATTTTTCCTTCAATTTTTGAGGGATGTGAAAACTAGGGATTGAAATGGACCTCCTGCATGCTACACAAATGCTGTAGGCCTGTCCTGCACTCTCATCCCTTTCTCAATTTTATTTTAAGACAAGTCTCAATGAGTTAGTTGCCCAGGCTGGCCTTGAACTTTTGATCATTTTGCCTTAGCCTTCCAAGTAATTGAGATCAAGGTGTGTACCACCATGCCCAACTCCCATTTTCAGTAGCACCAAAATGAATAAAATATTGAGAAAAATTAAATAAGGAAGTAAAAGACTTGTAAACTGAAAATTATAAAACATGGATTAAAGAAATTAAAGAATACTCAAAAATGGGGCACATATCACATTCATGAATTAGAAGACTTAACTCTCCTTAAAATTTCCATACTACCTAAAGATATCTACAAATTTAATGCAATTTCTATAAAATCCCAATGGTATTTTTAATGTTTTGGTTTTTTTTTTTTTGAACTGGGGGTCAAACTCAGGTCCTTGAGCTTGCAAGGCAGGCAGGGGAACTACTGAGCTAAATCCCCAGCCCCTTTTTTAAATGTTTTTTTTTTCTAATGGTATTTTTTACAGGAATAGAAACACAATCCACAAATTCATGTGGAA